TACTCTAACTTCATGACTTATGAAAGTTTCTACACATAAAACCTTTTAGAATGTTCAGTCACATTCTAATTTAACCTTTATTTTATAATGTACAAGTACAAAATAATTAAACACCAACCAATTACAGCTAATTCGGTGTTAATTATTACAAATTGCTGACTCTACGCACCCCGTGCATTTCAGTCGGAAAATGTCACATCACAGGACCTTTTATCGGTATAAAACCAATTTTCGGTATACTAATTATATTTTTATCAATTAAAGTAGTACCTACATACTATGATTGTTCCTGGAGATACATCTTTAGTATTTTTAAATGTGAATAATATCTCTAACTCTATGAAGTACATTATCTATTATTGTAATTACATATATAAGTGTAATACTGTCTTAGTTGAACCCATGTTTATATAACCTTTCTCTATAACAGATTGTTTTTCTTTCGCGTTTTATTTGGCGTGAGAGTAATTTTCCATCATCACATGTTGTTTTCGGACATATTTTTCAACGAACAATAGAACAGTCTGTCCTTTGTTGTACATTGTTCTTTTTATCATTAATTACATCAATTGCTCCCGTCACTGCTTTTGTTTTAAGTACACTGGTTGTACACATTTTTAATTTGCCAAATATTTAAATATTCCATTAGAACGCCATTACAACTTAAACAGGTAAGTATTCTATTATTATAAACACTGTATTACATCAAACTGTCACCGTCTAGAACTATAATTCTAATGTATGTTGGTGGACATATTTTCGCTATTTTGTATTTAGACAATAAAAAGCTTTAATTTCTATCGAAAGAATTCGTAGATGTAATAAAGGGCAACTGTATAATCTGGACAAAGGCTAACATTCATAATCGAGACCTAGCGCGAAATGGATAGTATTTCAAAATAGACTCTAAACGATAGAGTTTAAAACTTTAAAATTACTTAATAGGGAATCATTTTTTGAAATCAATAAAGCGGTACAGTGCGGGCGAAAGATCGGAAATGAACCCGTCATTTTTAAAAGGCCTCAGATTGCATCTGTTTCTTGATACATTTTCTATCATAGGAAAGAATTCTTCACTTTTTGACGTGCGTTCTTTGAGACTAACATAGATGTTTTTCTTGGCGAACGACCAAGGCGCATATAGAAATATGATAATGTTTTTATACCTTAATAGATAGAGAAATTAAAGCAAAAAACTGATTGAAAATTGATTCAAAAAACTTTAAAAGACCTTTTAGTACTATATATTAGTTCTTCGTATTGCTATAGCTGAGTTTCATCATCGGACGTCAAGGCAAAATAGAAAAATACCATCCGTATCACCTCGACGTCCGTCGTTCCACAACTGTTCCGTTTTCTAAGGCAGCTTTTGCCGCGCACCACCACTATGTGGAACCAGTTGCCCACTGAGGCATTTCCGAACCAATTCGACTTAGGGTCCTTCAAGAAAAGGGCGTACCAATTCTTGAAAGACCGGCAACGCACTTGCGAGCCTTCTGGCAGTGTGAGTGTCCATGGGCGGCGGTATCACTTAACATCAGGTGAGCCTCTTGCCCGTTTGCCTCCTATTACATTAAAAAAAAATTATAAGACTAGTTATACTCGTACAGTTTTTTTTTAGGAGCAACATTATTTTACGTATATTTGTTTATTTGAATCAAACATCAAAAGCAAAATTAATGAAAGCTATTCCTTCATTTTGTAAAAGTCAAACACCATCTGGCGCAATCAATTCGTCGGGAATGAGAAAAATAACCCCCAACGCGAAATGAAAAATCTGTTTTCACAGCGCTGTTAAAATAGCCTTTGACTTAGAGATATCGAATCTGCACTGAATTCAGCAGTATTTGAAATTTCGCACCTAATGAAAAATGTTTCAAGTGTTCTTATTTCTTAAACGATTTTTTTTTATTGAGACCATGTATTCTCGCATATAAGTTATATCACAGTTCATTCGACGTATCTTAGGCAAGAATTTCAATAACCGGCGGCAAATGTTTTTATTAAAAGATAAAGATAATTAGTCGACTGGCGATTTGTTCCCTAACTACGATTTTAATAACCATTACGTTATGTTAAGAATATGGATGTCATGATTATTAGAAATCTTAATCTTAATAAAAAGTTTACTTATGATATAAATATCGAGTATATTCAAGTTATACATAAATTAACAGTTACTATAAGGTAAGCATTATAGGTGAAAATTTCTTATTAATACATAATAAGGTTTCTGAGGTGCTACGTAAACGCTACGCGGCAGCTACGAGATTAACGTTGTGTGCGTGTTGCGTATAATACTAGTAACTTAATTGTGTATGTGTGAGTCGTGATCGATGCTGTCGCGCGGTTGCCACGCCGCGCGTTTCCGGTACGTTGCCACCCCGCAGTCTTAGCTCAGTAAACAAGATATTGCGGTCGCACATCGGGACGTAGCTATAGGCGGAGGCGTCTTGAACTCGTTAACATAATTAAAAAAGATCTAGAAGTGGAATAATTAAATATCTAGATGGTCTTTTTTTCATCTACAATCTATTAAATATTGTGTTTTTGTAATTTTATAAGCTTACGTTTACCTTTAAAATATGTATATATGATATTGATAATAAATAATTATTATATATTTATAGACATCAAATTAAAAATATATATACAGATACATATTGTTTTAGTTACTAATCCGTCGAGTAATGTGTAAGGTAGTATTTCTCGTTTTATGTATATGCCTAAATGCTAAATATAGATATAATTGCTTAGCGTTCATTATTTGTGTGATGTTATAAATCAATCGATTTGCTTTGAAATCGCTGTACATAGTTTGTGTTTTCGGAGCAGTGCCCCAAGTTTCGAAAAGTATTACTATTTATATTATATTATATCCGCTATGGACTCCTAAACTACTGAACCGATTTCTATCAAATTTGCACACCGTGTGCAGTTTGATCTAACTTAAAAGATATAATATGTCAAAATGATGGTTTATTATTTGATAGTCACAGCTAACAGATAGCGTGTGTTTTTGTGTTGAAAGTACCAACGTTTCACATAAGCTACAATTTAATGGTTATGCCACCAAAAAAGCATGGTGATCGCCATGACTGATGTTCTCCTACCGTTTCGTTACTACTATGTAATATAACAAAAACCTTAGCCACAGCAACGCTTGGGCGGTCTGCGAGTAATATATAAATATATACATTTTTTATGTCGAATACATTGGACTCCATTGCGAAAGCAGTTTGAAAATGTCAAAAGTATCGTATCACTACAAAAAACCCTGTTTTAAACCGCAACCTATTTTCCGTACATTTTATTTGTAGTGCTAAACGCAAATCGTTCTCAATAGGAATCAACCTAAAACATAAAAGATAATGGAATCTGGAAAATTCATATAGTTTTCTACAAACGTGCAGACGACTCGGCTTATCCGTGTTTATTTTAAAATTAATACAAACAGGCGGCACTCCGGAAATAAGCTTAGAGAGCAGAGCGCGAGGCGGAGGGAGGGACGGGAATTAGATGTCACCGTCGTCGTCCTATTAACGGTTATTGGTAGATAGCAATTTAGCAATCACGATTGGATTTTATATTTGTTTATATCTCTAATATACCTTCCGTGTTTCATAAAATAAATTAATAAAGTTTTTAATCATTCAAAGGCTGTGAAAGTCATTAACGCTGGTTTGCCAATGGAAGTATTGTGCTATAAAGTAGCTCAACCGCTAAAAGTCTGTGATGTCATACAGACAACGCTAAAATTCTCCTTTATGTAGAAAATAATAACAGCATTGTTGAATTTTATTACAAGCCTGATCCTGTGTAAGGTCGCAGAGCAGGGTATTTATAGATGCAGGATATGTATAAAGAATGTATTTGCCCTGAGGCATTATTTGGATTACGTTTAAAGAGAAGTTGAAAAGTTTACAAAAAAAAAATTAATTAATTTTTCACATAGCTGCATTATGTACTTTTAATTCACTAGCGAAATCTTTTCAACAACCATTATTTATATATCTTAGATGTATGTTATTTATAGATATCTTATCCTTATTTTTAAAAAACCTACAGGATAAAAATATTTTAATTGCTGAATGCAAACGACTGAAGATGCTAATGTTAATGGTAGAAAGCTGTCCCTCGTAAGCACAGGTAGTAAATAAGTCTGCCAAATGTGGGTCGTAGGTGCTCGAACAATAGTTGGCTCTGACTAGTAGCTCCGGAACCTCGTGTCTCCTCCTCACCGCCATTTCCGTATCCCCTGGGGTGTTAGGTTCAGGGAGCTTCCGAACGCGCATACAATGACTCTTTTATGCCCTCACACCACTAATCGAGTCCTGATTACATTTAATTCCCGCTTTATAAATAAACTCTATAATTTATCTTTTGATTAATTTTCGCCTGCATTATACCATTTTGAATAGTGCAGTTTACTCTATAGCTTGTAATTAAAATGTTTAAGTTTAATTTAAAATACAATTACATTTTGTATTCAGTCTATCAATCCAGTAGGATAACACAATAAAAAAATAATAAATTGTGATGTAATAAAACATCGCGAGTTTATCAATATTAAAAATTAATAATGTAACAACTCTAATAATTATATAGAAAAATTCATCTAGAGTACCACTACCATTTTAAATTATATTTTAAATAGAATTCACCTTTATCTAATCATAGCCTACTTCACCGCCCTCTAACGGGTGTCTAACGAGAACACACAACATGAAAGCTCACCCCTGCTAGTTGAAATCAATGCCATCTAACGTAATGCGTTGCAACTATGATTATAAAGGCCCATAACACAACTCACCAAAATAATAATCCTGCTAACACCAGACACTTTTTTTTAAAAGGTGTCGTTAGTGAATCATTTATAAGTTTAATAGTTCATACATGCAGTTGTGAAATGGAAACATCTCTCATTTTAATAGGAAGTCATAACCACACATGTATAAGGCTTTAATAGATGAAACTCAAATACAGGGAATTTTATTTTATTAGTTTTTCTTCTTTTCAGCTTTCAATTTGTAGGTCAATTGTGATTCTAACATTTGCATATAGTCCAAATACCTTGTTCCCCAAGGTGAATAAGATATATACCATTCTTTATACATTTCGTAATCATCAACACCTGTAAATACCCCACCCTCATAATCTAAAACAGCGTTAACAACTTCCACAGGATCTAAGGGCCTGTGATATAATTCAGCAACTCTTTTGCCACACAACAGAGAATCGACGCCCTTTCTTATTGTATTGATGTCATAGCCTCTTAGTGCTTGAGCTACACTATGAACATTAAACTCTCTGTCCATGCCGTGATATTTCATTAGCATATGTGTTAGTACGAAAGAGATACTTCCGTAATCGGATCGAGGTAATAATATTGTCGAAGGAAACACTTTATACATTAGGGGATTTTTCGCAAGCCAAGGCTCTGAAGCCGTCCCCAATATTAGTATTTTATCATCAGCTTGAATTGGTTTTAAAACTTCTTTGAAAAAGTCCTTGGATAGTCGTGTTGGATCGAAGATTTTTTCTTCTTTCGGAACTTTTTTATAAAATAGTTTATCCGCGTCATCTACTAATATAACGGTGGGTTGCATTAATTTACTAATTCTATTTACTAGTTGAAACATTGTTTTTAAGTTTTTAGGCCCCGGGAATTTATCGTACACGTTCATGGGGGATAGATCTATCAAAATTGCGTTAGTTTCGGTTGCGATTGCATAGACTAAAGTTCTCTTACCCGATCCTTTAGGACCCACAAGAAGCTGAGACCTTACTGCATTTGGACATGTAGAACCCATTGTCAGTATACAACGGACTTTTATCAATTCTTTGACATCACCTATACAGCTGGGTGGAAAAGAAGGTGTCCAAAGCACAGCCCTCATATCTGCAGCCGCATAATTTCTATCGCCCCAGTAGTCTTCTAAAGTTGTTTTTGGATACTTCCTTACAATACCTTCATCGACTAACATCTGAAACATGCGAGCTGGTGGTATTTTGTCAGGCTTCGGAGGCTTAATTTTTTTAGGTTTTTTACGTTTCATGCTTTGGGGAGGCTTTGCAATCCCCGCTGCTAAGTAGTCGACTTTCAGAGAGTTTCTAAGTAAATTCAACTCCAATCGCATCATATCATCAACAATTGGTCTAAGTTTCAACTGAATATCTTTGTAAGCGTCGTCTGTTATTAGTTGTTTAATAAAGCCTTTTAATATTTCTTCTGGGGCATCTGTTGTATCATATTCTTTCCATTGATTTTGATAAAGATCCCATGCTTCATGCACAGATTCTAGAGCCATTCCTATTCTTATATAAATACCTGGGTCTCCTTCTGGATTAAGACGAGATTTTTTATAATCAAGTAAGCGCTTTGCTTCTTTTATTTTTGCTTCTGCTTGTAATCTTTTTTTTTCTTCCCTGGCTGCTAATTTCTCTGCTTTAATTTGTTCCTTTGATTTAGGACTACCGGCTTCTGCCTTAAGTCTTTTATCTTCCTCTAATCTCCATTCAATATATTCTTCAATGGTAAACGTTTCTCCTTTTACAATTAAAATCGAACCTCCTTCTTCAGGATAAGGAAATTCGTCAAAGATTCGGACTTCCGAATACCATTCACGGAGCCATTGACGAATTTCATCAGAAATATCCTCCATAATGTTACCTTCTCGCAGCCTTAAAACTCGAGCATTTTCTTTCATGCTTGCTTCTAACCACTTTAGGTAGTATTTCTTCCTAAAAGTCCTTCTGTCTTCTTTTACTTTTTCTAATTGAATTTTTTGTGAGGGGGGAGACCAAGATGGAATAATCATACCTAGTTTATTTTTTAGCTTGTTGTCTCTTGTACGGTACCGTTTAACCTCCATAAATTTTCTAATTATTCTTTGTATTAATAAAGCAGCACGTATTCGCAAGGATTCACGAGCTGGAGGTTTTTTCAATCCAGCGAGGTCCAAGTATAAGTTTTCATCTTTGTTGTACTTTTTCGTCTTTTCTCTAATCATATAACGCGACCTTTCCATGCGTTGTATATTATTTATGTGGCCATTATATTCAGCTAACAATCTCATTTCTTCAAGCTCTTTTGGAGAGAGCTGCACTGACGATGCAGCATCAGATAGTTCTTCACCCATTGCCATGCGCCTTTTCATCTCAGCTTCTTTTTCTTCTCTTGCTCTAGCTTCTTCTTCTAATCTTTTTTCTTCTTTCCGTTCTATTTCTGAAGGTGTTGGGGTTGGATCACCGATTCGGTTCCCGGCTAAGATTTCATCAATTATGTATTGCATTTCCTCTTCTCTTATTTCAAACGGATAATGAAATGGGCACATGATTTCAATATCCTGAGGAACCATAAGCAACTGTTGAAGTGCATTATCTGAATATGTAAATTCAAATGCTTCGATTTCTTCTAACGATAATTTCAACTCAAACAGTCTGCAGGTAATAGCATCAATTATCTTTCGTATATATGGCCTTCTTTGCACTTGCTCCATTTGATCATAACAATCACATAATTTATTGTATATTTCACAATATTTGCAATAGACACGCGCTACTATTTCTACAGCCGTAGCTTGTGGTTTGATACCGATGGAGCCCACGGCTAACTCTTGTAGACGATCATCTTCCAAAGACGCTTTTTGTATCTGCTCTTTTAATTGTAGCCATTGCTTATAGTAATCTTTATTAGACATTGTGGTACAAAATAATAATAATACTATATCTTAAATTTAACACATAAAAAATCTTTAAAAATTACATTTCATCGCCAGTCATCGTGTGTCATAATTAAATTTTCATTAGTTATATGATTTCGTGTTAAAAAGAGGTTTTATCAGCAGACTCCAAAAGACCTGTTATTGCTGTCACCCGCTATTATAGAATTTCCATTGTTGATGGTCATTACAATCGTAGCAAACTATTATATATACTCTGATACTTACAGAGACTTCACATATTATGTCCATATAACTAAAAATAAACATATAGTTAATGAGGAAGAAGATCCATATTTTAAGCTAAAACTATCTGAATGTCTATTCCATGCATGATTTACTTTGACTAGGAGTAAATTCGAAATCAAATCAAAATTTATTTTATTCATATTGGTATGTACACTTATGTCAATCTTAAAAATAAAGATCTAAAATATTCCCAAATCAAGGAGCCAGCGAGAAGATCTGGCAATAAACTCTCCGCCAATCTTTTTAATTTTACACTACCTATAACTTTGTTTCAGGTTCAACATTTCTGAAACTATTCAAAAAGATATATAAAATCCTGTAGGGCTTTCCGAAAATTTGTACATATATATATGTTGGTTTCTTCAAACGTTCGGGGGTTGAACAATGATCGTTCAGCCCCTCGCGCTGGTTACAATAAAAATGTTTCAAGTGCGCCTCCGTACGTTCCATTGAACATTAGCATCGTCGCACGCGCTCGGCGCTCACATCCGGCGCGCGTGTCGCTTTTCTGGTCACATATTAAATTATAAGCGACAGCGATCTCATACGCCTTTTTACTTTTCCAATGTTTAATACTTAGTAAAAACACAATTAAATTTATCATTATAAAATTATAAATCATTTCTTTATAACACAATAATGTATTAGTTATAATGAATCCTGGTATACCTGTGATTTTTGTAGACCCTTAATCGATTTTAAAGAGAATCCTGGAATTCTATAAAAATGCATTGCGATTTTCTTTAAATTGCAATAGTTTCTCCCACTTTTGTATCTGAACATCATAAGCAAATGTAATAACTCCAAACAATCTTAGTGTCTTAAATTATCAAAATAAAGATTGTACTTTGTCGTTTTGATTTCTTATAATTACGTGTGATGTCGTCGCTTAAAGGTTATAACTTGGGCAAGCCTGCTGAAAACAGCATCGCCCAAAATGCAACGTTACAATGATTTATTTAGTCCCTCCTATGTATTCATTACTGGTGTAGAAATTTAAACCATTAATTTTGTTAACTCTGTCTCGGTCAATAAAACATGCTTGGGGTGGAGATAAAGGGATCTGCTAGTTAAAAATCCTTCTGATTGTTTTCTTATCTTAACTATTTAATATTCACAAATTATTACTATTTTGAACTCAATCTTTGATTAGAATTTGTTTTCTTAATCCTAAATTTACATCACCGCGCATGCCGCAAAAAATCGTCTATATACGAAGTCGAATGAAAGAGCAAACAACCTTTTAATTACGGTGCACGAATGGATTCTTCTTTCTAGAAAAAAATATATTGTAGGTATATATAAAATTAAACAAGTACATTTCTAGGGCTGCATTCGGTGATGTAAAATTCATAATATCAATAAAATTAATACTTTTTAATAAATGACATAATATTAACCAAATATGGCAACTAGGCAGGTTGATGAGTGATTGAGTTCAAACAGATCATAGAAACAGACCACAAAAATGAATAAATCTAAAAAGGGTCTATGGCAATATTCTGGAACTACCTTAAATATACACTTGTTGTCACAATATATTTTATTAATTTTTGATTAAATACACTTAGGATCGCGTAATTTTTATAAGTGCGCCTAATTGAGTGTCGATGGAACCCCATGATTCTCACGAGACTATGTTCATTAATCGTTAATCTGGTACCGAAACAAATTAGTTACTCCACCCATTGAGTTAGTGCGCGTTCGGATCGCTCTCCGGAACCGATCGAAATACAATGGACTATCGTGAAGTATTTTATTTTGATATTCTATATTTGAAATAATACTAATCAAATCAAGGAGTTTATATACGAGATTAATAAATGAATATAATCATTGCATTAACTCTTGCCATGGAGACTCATAACTTCTGAATTATAACGCGTAATACCAATTAGCAATTACATAAAGATATCTGGTCGTCAGCGTGCGTTGTTATTATTATTAACTAGCAGCCTGTTCCGGCTTCATACGGCTAGTCATTAATACATATATTGGAAATGGATATGGACTTTGTTACTTAGTGATAATGAACTTTTTTTATTTCTTTGAGTTTATTACAAACATACAAAAAGCCAAACATTAATACTAGTATATAGATGACAATGTTACCAATTAGTAACAACTACCGAACTATATCTCTATCCACATATCAACCCCTTGTATTCGATTGATGAGAAAAAATCAAAATGCTCTACGGTTGTCACCACAAATTGGGAGCGAGACGACGTGCGCTAAAATTGGATACGCATGGTACATTCGACCCCATCGAGTTTATTATTCATAGATGATTGTAATCATGATAGCCTGATATATTTTGTAATGTTATACTGTTTTTAATTAAGCCGTTATGCAGTTACTTCATTTCAATAAGTCAGATATGGAGGACTTTTATTGTTTTATACATGGCTGTGGACGGGTTCAATTCCAGGCATTCATTAGTTTAGGGAAGAGTCAGACATCTAATTGTTAAAATAATACACCGAAGGGTTACTAAACCTTTAACTGATACCCCAATTTTTTTCAGAACATTTTTTATAGTAAGTAATTAATTAGGATATTCAAATAGTATTGGAGAGCATTGCTAAAAGTTTTACAATAATTACGGGTTGTATTGAACGTAGCGAATGCCAGTGCTATTCACATTTGAGAGCTCTTAATAACAGAACATGTGACGACGCGTGCGACTATTTAGCTATGGGTCGGCACAGCATCACGTTGTCGTTATTTTTATGAATGCTCATTTAAGTCCTCGAGATATATTTTGCAACATGCGGAAAATTCGATGGAGCGTCAGGCGATATAATATTTAAGATTATTGATTTTCGACAAATAAATATAATAATGCTTTAACCTGTTCAGTCGTTAGATTTGGTTATGTCAAAATAACTCTTAAAAAATCAATATCATTAATATGGGTTGAATAATAATTAAAAGATTTAAAAAAAGTTCCGTTTTCTGTGATCTAAATCACGGCAAAACGGCACTCCACGAGTTCCACGACCCAAGAGTCGCTACTCCAAAGGGAGAGAGAAAATCAATTTAATAATTTCAGTTAAGTAAACCGCAGTTAAATCGTTTCCCCTATTAATTAATTATTGTATAAATTACGTTAAAAACTCTTCAAAAAAAACTGACATTTACTGTCGACTTCAGACGATATCTTAGTGGAAATAAAAACATATTCAAAATATACACTGACAAAGAGCATATCTAAGGAATGTCGTGAATCACATTTTTAATAGTTACAAGTCATTTTTGGAATCTTTTTCCCTTAACAATCATCCAACCCTTGAATAGCAACGTTCCACAGAGCGAGATAACCGCTCCTTTGACGAACACTTTAACTTTTAATTGACGTCATCTCTTTGAATTTACGCTTCGACTAGTCCACTTTAAACCTCCATCTAATTATCTTAACAATCGTACTGGGTCAATTTAAGATTTTCTATAGCCTTAAATTCTGAGTATTCCTTTTCGAAATGACTTTAAAGTAACGCTTGATTAATTTTAGATTAATGCTTTGTTATAATTACTTTAATAATTGATTTAATTTTATAATTATATTTATATACTTTAAAAGCTCCAAAATATCAATGTATGCGTGTCTACCTACATATAATGGTACCACTATTGTATAAAATGATGATTTTGAAAATAGAACTTTTAATATTACTAGTATTTACCAACCCAAGAGGGTATAAACTGTTGCAGGATGTTAGAAGTTTATTATAGTAAAAAAAATATATTAAAATCAGTACAAACTACAGCGACGTATTTTGATATTTGGAATATGTAGCGGTGCTTACGATAGGTGAGGGGCGTGACGTCATTAATCAGACTGTAGCGGTGACGTCATCAGGGTGAGATAACCCAGAAGCTATTTACATTGATGATACACCCCAGTGAATAAATTGCTAAGCAAAATGTGTAGTTCATTTTGTGACTTTTTCATGTAAAGGGAATTATTGATAAATTATATTTTTTTAAATTAAGTAACAGCCCGAAAAGTTTAATTTAATTAAACATCGCAGTTCTCCTCGTTTACATATAAATTCGTAATTAACAGTACCAAAGGGTGTTTGTGTGTGTTTTATTTCCCATAAAATAAATCTAAAATATTTTTATCATAAAATTTAAAATGTAATTTTAACAAGTGTGCTCCCGAAATAGATTAAATTTGAATTTCTAAGACAAAATTTTTAGTGTTAATTTGTATCAAAACAACTCACCCGAACATTTAGTTGCTCTTAAGGTGTCAGATAGACTAGATGTACTGTATCCCTTACTGAGTCCACTTGCTAACTTCTCAGTTCCTGAAAATCATATTTATGTTATATCGTGATACAAGAATTGCAATAAGATATAATTTGTTTAGAACCATCGGTTTTTTCATCTTTTAATACCCGGTAAAGATATAGTGACAAGGATACGGAAGGGGAATGTTTAGGTGGTTTGGCCATCTAAAAAACCTACGTGTAGGATGAACAAGGCAAACGTGGACGATGAGGACCAAATCCAGGTCATGCTAGATAAGTTAGAGAGAAGAAGACAGGGCAAAAGTACTCATAGCCTGCATGGTGAATGTCATGTGAATGATGGTATGGAAGGCGTGAATGTATAAATGAGATGAGCATGGCTGGTGGTTTCACTTAGAATTGGGTATTTCTCTTTCTATCTTCTAGTACTCATATGAATATATTTATATACACCTCTTAGGCGTTTCCACACAAAATAAAAATTAATAGTGTTAAATGAAATTGGGTATTATAAATATTTTTTGCTGAAAAACTATATTGATTTAATTTTAGTTTATCCTTAAATTTAACGACATGGCACTTAACGGAAGCTGTACATAATTACTGTATTATTTGTCGTATGGGTGTCGAGACCCTTGGCCCGTGGGGTCCTAGCTCTATAATGCTTTTTAAGGAAATAGCAAAAAGGTTAGTGGATATCACAGGAGACCGAAGAGCTGGCAGCTACCTCGGCCAAAGATTTAGTGTAGCTATTCCAAGGGGGAACGCTGCCAGTATCTTCGGAACCTTGCCTAAAGGTACTCCTTTTAATCATTTATTTTAGTTATTATATTTTAAGGTTAGTTATCTAATATTAACATTGGTTAAAAAATATAGTCAACACACAAATTAAATATGTTAGTTTATAACACGATTTTACTTATATCATTAAAAATCGCCTTAATCGATATAGGAAGTTGGAATTAAACAGTATCCCACGCTAAAAAGTTAATGTATCATGCAAGCCCGGAATCACTCGGCGCAATATGTTTTGGAACTATTTATTTATTGTATAAATATGCTGAGGCACTTATGGGTCGAGCAGAACGCATAAATCTAACCATAGCTAAGGGGAGTCGCATCATTACTGGTGCTCCTTTCGCACAATTAACTGTTCATTGTATTCGGCACGGTTCCCATGAAGCGGCATCAAAACATCGTGTGATGCGCGTGCGCAGTTATTACGCTCGCCATTTATTGTCAGCGATAGGAACTAAAAATCATGTCACTCTATCTAACCCATTATCATCCCTGATTTATACGTAGCGCACGAGTGCCCATTGATTGTGCTATAATTGTTTGTTTGTTGGTAATCCGAGGGATGAGTGAGACTTATAACCAACAAATGGTTTATTGTTGGTTATAAGTTTACCTATACATGAAAATGTATCGATAATAACAGATAAAGTTTTTTTATTTTTATAAAATTATAATTTTTTATTATAAAATAATAATCCGTAGATATGTTTCTTGTTTACGAAAATATCTCTATCGGTACGATACGGTACGATAACATTAAAAATTAATTAGGCATAATAACATAGATTACAATTGATTAATCCGTTCGTTTTAAATGCATAGAACAAGAATTAACTATCAAAAATATTGCCGGTCAAATCGCTAATGAATATAAATTATGGAACAACCCTAGCCCTAACGTAATAAACATTAAAAAATCAATATTCACATCGCATCAGTTATTATTTATTGATATATATTTTATCATGATACAATCTAAAGTATACGGTAGGTATGCGTAATTGATGGCGTTTCAACTGTTTGAGATCGCGAAGGGCGGGAGAATTATTTTCGTGTTAACAACTCTTTAGCCCCTGATGTTAATATTCTTAATGGCCGTAAACATTAAATTGTTGCTCCCAATGGCCTATTTGAATAATAAATCCAAAGCGAGTTTATTAACTACAATGTTATGTCAAGATGTTTTTCGTTCAGCAGAATAATTACTTCACATTTCTAAATTGTATAAGTTTTAGTTTAGAATGTAATTCTCAACTACAAGTTATCGAACCTCAGCAGTTAATCAATCGATATTTCTTTCCATTGCATAACAAATACGAAAAAACCGTGTAAATATACGTGATTACATCTTGTGTCTGGCATAGGCATAAAAGTGCCCTTAAAAATGCAACGGAAACAGAAGTTTGATCCCGTAAATTATTGAAAACATTTTTTTATGCTTTATATTTAAACAAACAGCTAGGCAAATGACTGCGATCGATGACGTTACATTTCTTGCCCATCCTGTTCATTTCTATTAAGTTCCACTTTCTGCCACCAACACCAAACTGTCAATATAGCATCGGCAAACAAAAAAATTCATAATGTTTTCCAAAGTTTTATGAAAAATAGTATGGAAGAGTGTAGTAACTAAGACTTACTAAGGGCCGGTTTTTTGATCCGTAGTTAACTCAACTATTGGTAAAAAATCGTTACTATTAGTTAAATATCAGCAAAATGCGTTTTTTGATCCGTGGTAAGAGCATCCAATGGTAAAATATCTAACCATTAGTCAAAAAAAGTTAACTACTCAGTATCGGAGGGTTAAAAAGATGGCCGCTGGTAATTTATATACTAACAGCTGTTTGTCACAGAAATCAAACTATGATAAATACGTTTATTACTATCTAATGATGAATTTAAACATATTGAGATACTTTAATTAATGAGACGATGAAGAAGACGATAATATTATATGAGAATGTGTTAATGAGTGACCAAAAATATTTAGGCAATGTCATCCGCCATTAGAAACCTGGGATGATGTAGATTTTTGTCACTGTTACCCCCTATCGAAGGGAACAGTGCTCTGGATTGTTACTGAAATTGGGAATGATCTTAAACTGCCAATGAACAAGAGTATATATAGACAGCAGCTCATACCAACCTATTTTGCTTCATTACTAACTACAGAACCGCAGCAGTATATAATTAAGTATATTACTAATTCATTATGTGTTTTATTGCCTATAATATTAACTTATAATTATTATAATTAAATAAAATACAAGAACAAGAGTATATATAGACAGCAGCTCATACAAACCTATTTTGCTTCATTACTAGCTACAGAACCGCAGCAGTATATAATTAAGTATATTACTAATTCATTATGTGTTTTATTGCCTATAATATTAACTTATAATTATTATAAGTTAATATTATAGGCAATAGAATATATAATGAATTAGAGTTAATATTATTTATATATTACTAATAATATTAACTTATAATTATTATAAGTACATACAAGTATGTACTTATACTAAAAACTACAGCTACACATTAGTTAGGGACCTATGATATTCTTTAGGGCTTTTATTACATTTGTGAGTTAGCATCTATCTACTTTATTACAAGAATTTATAAATAAAACATTTGACTTGATTAATAAACTGTTTAATTATAACTTAAATACAAACCATTTTTATTAAAAAAACATTACAAAATTTACATGAAACCCTAAAGTAGCAATTAAATATTTTCTAATTGTTTCTTCTTGCATTTCACCTCAATATGATGCAACTCTTTTTGCTGCTACATATATTTATTGTGCCTTTCTTCCATCTGCTGCATCACTTTTTGGTGCACCTCCTCTTTATGCAGTATGAATTTTTGGTGGGCCTCTCATTGGTGCAGCAAATGTTTTTGATGCTCTTCTTAAGCATAATTGAACAAATCATCCTCTCTTATTTGTCTTTGTTTCTAAACTCAATTTTTTTTATCCGTGTGGATCATAATCCGCTTCCTTGTTTCCAAAGGGTTAAAAGATTTTTTCCTTTTGTTGTAGGACACAGCTATACAAGAATAAATATAAAAATGTGCCTACACCTTCATTAAATGTATATTAAATTTAACACTTCGGTGTCTAGACCCATCTGAGTTGAAAACGTCACAGAGATTTCCAAGCTGCATCTTTTTGTAGATTGCTGCAGTGATCAGTTGTTTGCAGGTTACGACTGTGTAATCCTTGAGAAGCATCACCAGTTTGGCAGTTTATTTTTTGGCGAAGTTAGCAGTATGGTCCCTTTAACAAAACATAAATGTATTACTTTCTATTACGAAACACAAGATAAACCGGAATAAATAACACGAAAATATGTTTGAACTTACTTATTTGACCGTTGGCTGTTTGCGGACATCGTTATTTGTATATTTAAGTATCGTAAAAAAGTGTAAACCGTATTAAATCACAGAAAAACAACTTTATTTATATCGTGTTATTTAGATTAATTTGACACTTCAAACTCTTCAAAGCGCAAATAACGAATGAAGATGGCAAAAATGGATTTCATTCACTCAATATGTCTAGTGTTGTCATACAAAATAAATGATCCCCACAAAAAAGAACCACATTTTTTGGGATGTCATTGCTCATTGCACTGGCAACAAATTGACAAATTGTTAACTTTAACTATAGTTAAAAAAGGCATTGAAAAACGCATTTACGATTTTACCAATGGTTATTCATTTAACTATAGTTAATGTAACAAATGGTAAAACCATTTTTTTACTACGGATCAAAAAAACTGGCCCTAAGAGTAAGTGTAAGAACACTAATATTATGTTACATTTGAAATATATTAAATAAAGAATTTCTTATGTCGGATATTTCAGCTTTTTTTATTTCTGTCACATGGTCATACGAATGGCATAAGCATTAGCCAGCCAGTTTTTTAAATGTTGTAAAAAGTACTACAGCTGAATATCATTTAGGCGTCTAGTTAAACGGCGCTTTTTAGTTGAGAGATGAGGCTAGGCTGTTGACACTTGACAGAACTGCTAATTGAACTTCTTGGCTGCGACATAGCCACAACGATGATTTCATAAATTGGATAAAATAGATCAATAGTATTTTATTCAATGTTACTTAATTAAGCAAATATTAGAATGAGCCTTACACTCAAATGCTCTATGGGTCCTACAGTCACGAAACTTAGCGTTAAGTTTGACTCAAGTATGTCAGAAATGTATTGGATTTTAAGATATCGGAATTTTTCGCGTTATTCAACTCTGCATCTTATCCTAAAGGCTAATTATGACTCCCGTGTATCAAATACATAAAAAGAAGATGCCAGCCGGCGCTTAGAAGCATTTGAAATGTGGTGCTATTGTCGCATGCTTCGTAAAAGCTGGATCCAGGTCTCTAACGAGAAGGTTCTTAAAAGAGTTGGAATGTCGAAATGTCTTATGCGTAGCTGGACCACGTGTTGCGCCATGACCCCTACCACCTCCTTCAATTTATAATGGGTGAAATCCAGGCGACTGCTGAAGAGTTGCTGCATCTGGCACAGGATAAGACACGCTTCAAGAGGCCAACCTCCAGTAATGGAAAGCTTCTAACAAAAGAGAAATGTCAAACCATTTTTTTATATACCTAATCTGTATCTGTATCATAACCCAAAATGTTTTGCTTTCTATCTTTCATTCGTTAATAAACCAAAAGAATTAAAGCTGCCTATTCTTTATTTGTTAATTTGATATGTCTATTTACTTCTAACTACTTTTTGATAGTTATGTGGTCCTTATGCTTTGTTTCTGCGATGAATATGATGATTTTATTAAAACGATTGCTAATTGTGTTCTATATACAGGTAGAACCGGCTACACTAACACACTGTACTTACGCCTAGTAGATATGGACATTCACTATCTCTAATGTAATTAAAATTAATAAATTATTTATTTCTAATAATTATAAATCAGTGGCGCTACAACCAGGTCATCAGATTTCTGAATCAGTTTCATCATCATTTGTTAATCTAATACGCCTGACACACGCCGTCGACTTTTTGGGTCTAAGGAAAGCCGGTTTCCTCACGATGTTTTCCTACACCGTTCGAGCGAATGTTAAATGCGCACATAGAAAGGAACTCCTCAGGGACGAGAGTCGCACGCTGAAGCCACTAGGCCAACACTGCTCAAATAATTTATTTACTAGCAACATTTATCTACGATTACATAGGGCAGGAGGCTGTCCATGGACACTGATACTGCCAAAAAGCTAGGTGGTTAGTAATTGGTACGCTCTTATCTTGAAGGACCGTAAGTCGAATTGGATCGGAAATACTTCAGTTGGGAGCTGGTACCACATAGTGGTGGCGCGGCAAAGATAGAATGGTTAATTTGCTTAAGTTGTGCAAAGTGTTTGTTGTGTATCTCAAAAGAGGGTAGCCCACCCTATCATGGCACGTGAGTTTTGCACTAATTTTAATATTATGTAAATGTTCACGTTTGTATTCATTTTGTTCCGTGTTTGATATTCTTGGCTGTTGCCGCCACTTTATCATCGCAACATGAATAAGAAATATTTGAATTGTTATTTGTTTTATTGCAGTTTGCGTTGTTATTTTCATCGAATACTTTTCAGTAGCAAGTCTGTGCGCGTTATATCATTAAGTTATTCAAACTATTTTATTTATCTTAAATGCTACAAACATACGTAGTACAAGTCAGCTCAGAGAACGGTGGAAGAACTGGTTAAAAACTCAGTTGTATAAGCAGGATTATCTTTTGTCCAATTAAGTAAGCTGTGAATTTCCTATGAGATATAATGGTAACACGGAATATTATGTTCATAAAGCATTTTTATTTGCAACTAAAATCTTAAGTTCGCAACAATCTGGCAACGCACTCGCAAGCCCACTGGCATTGAGATTGCCCATGGGCGGCGGAGTCACCTAACATCAGCTGAGCCTCCTGCCCGTTTGCCCTTAACTAGACTCGCTTAAAATGTAAATTAAAAATCATAAAAGATGAAGACAAATTGTTTATTTCGTCGATAACAAAACAGCGCGTCGTAAAACATTTCGCAAATAAAAGCATGACTCGATTCTGACTTGACCTCTTGACACCATTCTTCCTTAAATAATGCTTTAAACAAAGCAAAATACTGTCTTCCGTTTCCACAAATAACGGAGTTTTAAAAAATTACCATGTATAAAATCAAAATATCATTTTTTCATGTAGGTAACTTGACATCAACAATTTACGCCGATTCTCAAATCAGGGCGTAGAACGGACGAGAAAAACTGGCAATAAACACTCCGTCACTCATATAAATCGCCAAGGCTTTGTATTAAAAAACAAAATGTTTGTAAGCATCTGCACCCTGCTCCTTATCACATTAAACAGATAATTTTTGTATGTTATGATGGACTGATAAATGATTTTTATACAACAAACTATCTAAGTCGAGTGAATATATTTTCATTTCGCGGCACTTACATATGTAGGTAATGTATATTGTGCAATAGTAGAACCTTTAATATAATATAAATTACATTATATTGACTAAATGTTTAAAGTGAAATATATGATAACCGATTTATTTAAAAAATCGCCCGTCGGTCTCAACTGCCGGTCGTAATTTCAAATGCAGTGTTGGAAAATTCAACTGCACATTTTCCTTGACAATCAACCCTCCTCGTTAAGCCGGGAAACGCTGCCCCGGGTAACTTTCGAAATAATGAACTGTACGGAGATAATAAAAATTTATTTTTGCTCAAATAGTATTTATAAGGCAGCGATGATCCAGTCAGGGCGTGGTGGGCGTCACGTTGCCATGACAACAGGGGATGTAGGGTTTCCCGCACGCCCAGATCTCCCTTTGAAAGATTGTTATCCGAAGAAACACCCTACCTTGCTGTACCTACAGCCTCTGAGCAAAAGGGGTTTAACGCCAACGTTTAAAAACATATCTTATTTCTATAGGATAAAGTCGATTTTAATACTAAAAGAATGTCGAATCGATATCATTTTCTGCCCAACAAATCTTTTCGGCAAAGGCGATAATATAAATCATAAATATCTTAACCGTTTTATGTAATACTAAAATATCTGTTGTATTTGGAAAATGAATAACCTCATTCTACTTTATATCGCTTAAAGTTTTGATGAAAAATCCAATTTCAGAGATATATTCTTTGTGATCATGCTTTTTATATTAATTCTAGTCTCACGGAATCGACCAATAATAAAAACGATACTATAAAAATTTGCCCAGTTGCAAAAATCCTCTCTCAATATTCCCGTTTTCTGTGGACTAATTATAAAAGCTTCAAACATTTATTGAATGACCTCTTTAGTCGCGTGTATTGAACATTACAAATAAAGATATTGACTTCAACGATTTCAGGTTTTCAGGATACCACGTCTATGAATAAGAACGACAATTTTAAAGGTTTATTGTATTTAGATGGTTACGGATTTAGCACCACTTACCTAATGTTTTAGTCTTATCAGCTGGTCCGAGCATTGATTCCTCGGTTCTGGACGTCCTTCCGAAGCCAATAGTCGTGCCATCTTGACCCAACTGTCCTCCGTAAAAGTCACCGAATGCCGATGCTGAACCCAAGAGACTTGACCGGTCTTGTAATGCAGCTTTGGCTTTCTCCACGCTCTGTTTCAGTTGCTCGAATGTTGACTGATGAAGGCGGTAAGGCGGCCATTCTGTTGTTGGCCAAGGTTCTTCTTTGAGTGCACTTCTTTTGAGTTCTAGAGCCCCACCGTAGGAGCAGCTACTTTCGTACATCGCAACTTTCACGGCACGGAGTGCGGTTGCACACTTCAGTCCGCGTACGTCGATTCTGTTGTGTTAAAAATAGATATTCAGTACAAATCATAAAATTTATATAGGTATTAATTGGAAATTTTTCAATAATTTAAACCGAAAGAATTGTATGCCTCTGTTGTTAAGTGCATTTCCACAACCAAACCTAGTTTGGTTTAAGAAACCCGGAGGATCTGGACTCTAGGTTGTGGTACTTATCTCTAATAAGTAAAATAAAAATAGGTAAAAAAAACTTTTTAAGTTAAACGGTTTTATGTTAAACATACATTGCAATGTTTAAGATAAATGTACTAAAAACCAAAAAATAATAAAATAGATACAGTCGTGGGAATTATAAACATATGCATAGACTAGACTAAAATAAAACCGTGGGGCACGTCAATTGTCTACAAATTATCGACTTAATGTGCGATAGAAGAATCGTTTAATTCGTCGTTAAAATAGGCAGTTGGCCCGCAGACGTCCTGAAATTACTTACTATTTTCTTGCTCATGGAAATTCCAATAGTCATACACTCCATGTAAATAAAAGAGATGTTTCAACTAGTTTATCGTTGGACATTCACACTGCTGGCTGGCGAGGAATCGTTTCAACAGACAATTGACATGCCCCACGGTTTTATTTTAGTCTAGTCTATGCATATGTTTATATTTCCCACGACTGTATCTATTTTATTATTTTTTGGTTTTTAGTACATTTATCTTAAACATTGCAATGTATGTTTAACATAAAACCGTTTAACTTAAAAAAGTTTTTTTTACCTATTTTTATTTTCTAGTTTTTAGTTTTTATTTCGCATTCTGTTTAATTCATTTAGTGCTTCATTATTGCAAGGTTCCTTGCCCGTTAGTTTATATAAATAAATCAATTCTATAATATAAATATAATATATATTTAATTAATAAAATAGATACAGTTTTTAATATAATGTTATATATTATATAATATTTATTTATTTATTTATTTAGTTTATTGTATTGTCACCAAAATCCAAAGTGTATACAAAATTTCAGATTAATCGGTTGACAGGAAGAGGGTGAAATTTGAATTACTAAATTTGACCCAAGAATAAAACAAACGGGGTGAGCTAAATAAAACCATTTAATATTATTCTTGAATTGGACATATCGTAAGTTTATAAGAAAATATTATAATATTTTATAAGTGTTATTTGCAGTTAATTTGTTCGTTTCTTAGCTAATTTCAATGGTATTATTTTTCCTTAAGTATCAGAATCGTATTACATTTGAATAGTAAAGATATATATCTACTATATATAAATTAATTTATAAGCGGCCTCAGATTAATAAATTATTTACAGACACTGCTTAAATGCACTATTAATAAAAATAATTTTATCAAGAGCAATTTTAATAAAAACAAATATTATTTTAAATTTTATTCAATATTGCATAGTTGTTTATAATTGATTAAGTCGCGTGCTCCTATTTCACCATGCCTTCTGCTGATAGAGGACAATTCTTTGTGTTTAATTCATTTTATTATTATTAATTACTTAAGATTTCATGTGGAACATGGTGAAATGGTTGCAGCTCCTTACAAGCATTGTGTAAAACAAAAACTTGGCGATTAAAAAGAGTGGTGGAGAGAAACCACTGTTTTAGCGCAAGATATGGGACGATTATAAAGTATTCTTAATAAATTAATGGCGCTTGAACCGCTACTTGCTCATGGCCTAAGTATCTTAATTTAGTCATTTTGTTTAAAGGAAATTAGGTGATCAGAATAATATCTGACACACGTCCCCGATATTTTGTCCAGTTTACAAAAAAACAAATGAAGAAAAATTCATTAAATTAATTATAATTTAAATCACGACCTCAGTTGAAAATCTCTAGAATCTCTCTCTATCTAATGCTCAAACTCTATTTACGTAGTCGGTCCCAAAGTTCTGTCATAAATAGAAATAATGATAAAAACTAAAGTACTGATCAGTTTTTAATGAGTGATATATCAATTAATAGTACATAAATTAAGAAATAGAAATAGCATAAAATTATTTGAAATGACCTCCCTTATTTTTAATACAGGCCCTTAAGCGCTGCGGCCAGTCGTCTATCGCAGCACGCACCATATTCATGTCGATTTCAGTGACTGCTTTTTTTAAAGATGACTTCAGACACTCCAAATTTTTATGGGGTTTATCACAGACCTTCCTCTCTAAGACCTGCCAAATTTTATAGTCCAAAGGATAAAGGTCTGGACTGGAGGAAGGCCAATCCTCATGTCTAATTAAGTCGATGTTTTGACGCTCAAACCAGGTTTGAGTGGTCTTGGCTTTGTGTGCAGGCGCAGAGTCCTGTTGGAACACAAAGTGATGTCCCGAAAATAGCGTGCTGGGCAGGTCTTTGACAAGCTGGTCCAAAACCGTGTCTTGATACACTTTTGCACTGGTTTTGACCCCCTTTTCGCAAAAATGAACCTCAGTTGGCCCGTAATAGGACACTCCCAACCAGACCATTACTGATGATGGATGATGTCCATGTTGCACCCTCGGAACTTTATTTCCAGCTTCTTCAGAACTCCTAGCGTACACTCTATCATTCTGTTTATTGTACTTCTCTTCAATATCGAAAAATTTTTCGTCCGTAAAGAGGATATCACGGTGTCGGTTTTTCGCGTACCGCTTTAACAAACCCCGCGATCTCTTAAGCCTTATTGCTTTTAGACGAGCATTAAGTAGGTGCCCACTCTTTCTTTTGTATGCCCGTAGACCAAGATCTTCATTTAAAACCTTTTTTTACTGTTCCCTACTGACACCCATCTGCAAAGCCATCAACTTCTGTTTTCGGACAGGATTTCTTGCTATCCGCGCCTTGATAGCTTTGATCACTGCTGGTGTCCTTGCGGAGCGTGGCCGGCCAGTTCTTTTCTTGTCCTCAACACTGGAGACTTCATTGTACCTATCAATAGTACGGTACACAAACCTAAGCGTTATATTTAAATTTTTGAGCAACTTGAAAATGGTACTCGCCGAGTGCCCACAGCGGTGCAACGCAATAACAGCTATTCGGTTTTCTTTCAATGTCCACTCCATCTTGAAAATTTACGGAAAGTGATTGTTTTTTGTTTTAAAACAATAGTCAAACAATCAAAAATAGAATGCAATAATTTTTTTATAAAATCATGTTCGTAATTTAAAAATAATGTGCCAGTGACAGAACCTTGGGACCAACTACGTAATCCTATGACATAATTAAGTAATATATAATTGGTGAAATTGTTATTTAGTGTTTCAGGGAAGCTTATCGTACCAAATTCAAACTAAGAAAAAATGCCCATACGTATGATAATTGTAAAGAAATACTAGAAAATCAAATAATTTGGGCTAGTAATAGTGGTTAGTAATAATGGCGCTACAACTTTTAAGGTTTGACGTTTGATTCATGATCATTTGTTTGTGTAATTGGAAAGTAGGTGATCAACCTTCTGCCATTGTCCTCAGGATGTTTTCCTCCCCCAGCGAGCGAGTGTTAAATGCGCACATAAATAGAAAGTCCAATGGTCAATCAAAACTACGTCAGGGATTTGAGTCGCAAACAGAAGCCACTACACCAACACTGTTCCTGATAGCATACAATATAAGAATAATACTATAATAAAGACTGAATAACTTATTAGATGACTACGGTATTAACCTCGAACCAATTATATACGTTAGTCATATTTTGCCATGAATACACATAATTATTTCTATGAAAATCACGCAATTTTACCTATAAAGTTACTGAAAAAAAGATAACGCACAAAATTTGATTATTCCTTATTGTAGATTAAGCTATTAATCTACAATTATATTATTATTATTTGTCAACAATTAATTCCGAGTAATTTTATCGTAAAATATACACAAAATCTGTGGTTTTACTTGGACCACCAACTAAATAGTGAACGATACGTCTTCCTCACTATACTAGTTTGGATAAAATGTACTAGTAGCACTGAGGTTAAACCAAACAATCTTACCTCATATCGGAAATTCTTTTTCTTTTAGGTCGCTTTTCCTCTTTCTTGCTTATATCCGTGGTGACAATCAGTGTGGTATCACATTGCAGTGATACCACACGCATCCAATAATATCTAATATACACCGTCCTATGTAGATATCATGAGTTGAATATAATAATAAACTATGTCGCATAACACATATTCAAGTTTTCATTTGGACTATATCACTGTAATTAGAAACACGCGTGCACACTTCAAAATATAAAGTATTTTTAATTTTTTGCAATTAATTACAATTTTAAATCTACGATGGTAACGTAACCGTATCCATCTAACGACTGTTAAGCCGCGCCTGCGCTGTGCCACTCCAATTGATAGCATCCGGCATAAGGGAAATGTGTCGTATAACCAATTTATTTACTGGTCGATTTGACCACAGACAACCAGATATTTATAATAAAATATTACTGAGAATATACACGATGAACGTTCGAATTCGGAAATCTTACTCTGCTGAAACTCTTGCGCAGTTTTCGTAAAACGAAAAGAGCTTTCCAGCTCGATTAACGTATTCCCTTTGCACTCATCTCCACAATGAGAAACTTCAAGAAACAAAACGTACCTAAAACAGTATTCTCAATACGAAACTAGTACTGGGGCAAGAATTTATATATTAATTGAAGTTATTATGTAGGTACCTAGAGAATATAATGCAGGAGAGCAAAACAGGAAGACCGATAGTCCTTAAACGTACTATTCGCGTGAAATAATTATGAAATATTTGGTCAGAATTATTTATTTTCTGAGTGACATAAACAGGATAGCAATCGATACTACTTTTAGGCTTATATATAAGACCCATTGTATATTTTTAATGGTTAATTACACAGGTGTCACAACTATAATTGGGTATTTTAACAGTTCATATCCTGCGTTTTGTAACCTCAATAAATATTCAGTGTCAGCGATCACGCAAACATTACAAGCATGGC